TCATGGAGGTAAATATAACCTCCATGACACATTTCATGGAGGTAATAACTTCCAAAGACTGTCACCCCACCAAATGCATTTGTATTGAATACTGCAAGGGAACCATTTTGACATGTGCTGAATTCTTAGCAGTGATTAAAAGTGGTATGCCTACAGAATGGCTAATGTGAAAGAGTAAAGAATTAAAAGAAAGTAAGATGACTTTTAGCAAGATGAAAAATATTTTGAAAGATTTATGTAAAATTTCACAAAGTATTGTAGTAACAGGGGCGCAAATGTAAGTCATACAGGATGCTTCAGGTTGAAGCCGCAGCAGTACATGTACATCTACATTTACTGTAGCACTAAGAATGAGTCGTTGAGTGATGAAGGGATTTCTGTTGTCATTGGAAAAAGAAACTAGGACACGAGTGGTCATAAATGTTGAATCATGATTGTACACATTTTGATGAGACCCACAGTTTAGTGTGAACCAGTAGCAGTTAAGTGCCCATTCCATAGCCTGTCATTACTACTTATGGACTTGCAAATACAATATCATTCACTTTCATTTTATTTAATTTACATGTAATGTAAATTTCGAAATATTTACAGTGGTTTTAATTTTGTGGTTCTTCATGATCCTTCTCCACTGTGAAATCATGATCATGTTTTTGTACTACAGTATGGTATTGATCTCAAACTGAAGACATAGCAGAAATCTCCTTTTCACTCCTACTGTGAAATTAAATCCTCGCTCTAAGGCAGCCACAGTAAAAGCTTCATTCTATGTCCAAAGTGCTGAAACATTGGTGGTTATGCACACAGCCTTCCACTCAGCCGAAGGTGGTTATCCATGCATGTGTGCACACTTCCGTTGGCACTACGTGCATGCAGCCTTTCAGTCTCCACAAGCCTGAGGACTGGGCTGACCTTTGGACACCCTGGCTGCACTAATGGTCTCGTAGAATTTCTGATAGCGGCATTATTAACAGAATATTTCTCATAACTGCTGGAATTTGTGCCCTGTTAAGCGCAGGGGGTATGTATTTTCTTCAGAATGTGTTTTTGTGGTCATGCTTTTACTGCATTTGTTGGTTTGCAACCCTCCAGACTATTTTTTTTTTTACTTTTTGAGTGTACATGCACAACCTGGAAAAGTTGGGCCTTCAGGCAAAAGTACAAAGTTTATTACTGATATTTACTATCAACAAAATAAAATTGAACAGGTGATCTGTTATTGTTGCATTATCATATTAATATAAAGACATATTAATGATTTGATATTATCAGATATTTCATATGACACTTGTATATCACAATGCACTCTGTAGTGAAACACTTTGAGGTCAAAAGTGCCTTGAGACATAGCCTTTTTATATTTTCAAATATGATCATTTTGTATCAGAGCAGTACCAAGTTTGTTATGATTTTTAGTATGA